GGCTTCGGGGCCCGGGCCCCCTCTGCTTCCCTCTCCGGCTGGATCTTCTCTGGAGCCGGCTCCTCACCCCACCCCCCACTTGACTTCCCGTCGAGGGCCGGGTGGCGCTGAGGCTCCCCCCCCTTCGACCCCACCCCCGGCGAAGGGCTGGGGGCCCCGGGGCAGAGAAGCCCAGGTGACGGAGAGGTCCCCTGGCACAGGTGGGGCGGGGCCTCGGGGGGCCCGGGGAGACAGGGACCCTCAGGGGCCAGGGGGCGTCCCCGTGCCTCCAGCCCCTGCCCGTGCTGCGTGGCAGGCAGGGCCCGGCCCTGAGTCACCGTGGACGGGACGGGGCGGCGCCCGGGCCTCCTGAGTGGCCCGGGCATAAGGCGATGACTGGGCAGCCTCCGCATGACCGGCCGGGGTCGGCTCCGGGGCTTTGACTCAGACCTGCCACGGGCCGTGTGCACCGGGGCCCGAACGGTCCCGGATGGTCCCGGACGGACCCCCCGACGGTCCCAGGCCGGCTGCCCCCGGGCCCGGCGCCTGGCCCGCCCTCGGCACCCACCTCCGAGCCCAGCACCTGGCCGGCCCGCCCGCCTCCAGCTCTCCCTGCGGCCCCACCTGCCAGCTCCCGGGACCTTCGCCCCTCCCCTCCCCTCCCCTCCCTCCCCGCCCCGCCCCACCCCGCCCTGGGACGCCCAGGAAGTGGGGCTGCCCGCCCGGCCTCCCCGCTGGCTGGACTGTGACCTCCCCTCCGGGGAAGGGGTTCAGTGGACACTCCGGGCCTGGGGAGGCGGGGAGGGGGGGGGAGGCAGAGAGCCGGGAGGAAGGGAACCCAGAGAAAAGGGAGAGAGAAGAAAGGGAACACGCTGGTGCACCTGCCCAGGGGAGCGGGTGGCTGCAGGGAGCGCTGCGTGCGTGCGTGCATGCGTGTGCGTGCGTGCATGTGTGCGTGTGCGCGTGCATGTGTGCGTGTGCGCGTGCATGTGTGCGTGTGCGCGTGCACATGTGTGTGTGTGCGTGTTGTCTCCCAGAAGGTCTGCCCCCAGGGGGCCCCCTGTGCAGAGAGAGTGGAGCCCCCCTTACACACACACACACACACACACACACACACACACACCCTGGCAGTCCCACGGCTGCAGGGCAGGCGGCTGGTTTAAACTCACTTAACTCTCATCCCCTGAGGGAGGGAGGGATCACATTAGATCCGGCGGACAGCCCGGCCGGCGTGGCTCCCTGGTTGAGCGTCGACCTAGGAACCAGGAGGTCACGGTCCGATTCCCGGTCAAGGGCACAGGCCCGGGTTGCGGGCTCCATCGCCAGTGGGGGGCGTGCAGGAGGCAGCCGATCCGTGATTCTCTCTCCTCATGGACGTTTTTCTCTCTCCCTCTCCCGTCCTCCTCTCTCAAATCAATAAAATAAAATAAAAATGTTATTAAAAGAAGGAGGAGCGGAAACCGTTTTGGGCTCAGTGGATGGAGCGTCCGCCTTCGGACTGAAGGGTCCCGGGTTCGATTCCGATCGAGGGCATGCGCCTTGGTTGCAGGCACATCCCCGGTGGGGGGTGTGCAGGAGGCAATGGACGAGGTTTCTCTCTCATCGACGTTGCTAGCTCTCTCTCCCTCTCCCTTCCTCTCTGTGAAAAATCAATAAAATATATTTGAAACAAACAAGCAAACAAAAGGAGGAGGAGACATTTAAGCTGACCTCTGGGTGGTGGTGGGAGGAGTGGGAAAGGGAAATGCAGGCTTTGGGGGGTCCAGGAGGCCCCGGGGGAAGCGGGGGGGTGGGGGTGGGGGGTGGCTGAGTGTGCTGAGCTGAGCCAGCAGGTCGGCTGGTCCTGAGCGGGGGGCTGGCTGCGGTGGGGAGGGGTTCGGAACGGAGGCCACAGGCAGCCAGACGGGGCGTCAGGGCAGGCCTGTGAGCAGAAGGCAGGACGGTGAGACGCTGGGTCACGGGCAGGAGCCAGGGCCTGGCTGGCGGGGGGAGGAGGGGGCGAGGCTGAGGGAAGAGCAGGGGTGGGGTGGGTTCTGGCACGTCCGTTGGGGCAGGAAGACGCAGAACGGTGAGCGGTTGGAGTGAGTGTGGCCTGGAGGCGCCCACGGGTGCTCCTGGCCGCGGGCTGTGGGTGTGGGCTTGGAAAGGAGCCAGTGTGGGCCCCCGAGGCTGCAATCTCGGCGGGAGGCAGTGGGGGGTGACAAATCCTCTCGGGGGGCTAAGGGGGGGGCCTGGGACCCCTGCCCCAGAGTCTGGAGACCCTGGATCTGCTTCCCGGGGAGAGGGTGCCAGCCCAGGTCCCCTCCTGGGCCTTATCTGGGGGCCCGGCCGGAGGTGGGGCGCCGCCCCCTGGGCTTCCCAGCTCTTCCTCCGCTGACCAACCTCTGCCCTCGCCGTGGGCAACCGCAGGCCCGTGGCAGCGCCAGCCCCGGGCCAGCCTGGCGTTTGGTGTCTGCCACCTGCCACCCACAGCTTCCCAGCAGCCAGCCAGGAACCCCCCACCCCCACCCCCACCCCCACCCCACGCTGGGGCGGGGCACCTGGGCCCCCATCCGGGCCGCGCTGCCTGGCACACTCCTCGGGCGGTGACTCCCTCCGGGGCCTCTTCCGTCCTGAGCCCCTATTGTGTGCGGCCCCGGGGCTGGGTGCCGGGCAGAGCGGGGGAGGGGGCGGCCTCCGTCCTCGGCAGCTCCGGGCAGTGAGGGGTTCTGGGCCCTCAGGGGCTCAGGAAGTGGTCCTCGGAGTGACCGCGGCTGGAGGGGAGCAGGAAGGTGCTCCCTGCCTGGCCTCGGAGGGACCTGCGGACTGAAGGGTCCCAGGTTCGATTCCGGTCAAGGGCATGTACTTTGGTTGCGGGCACATCCCCAGTCGGAGGTGTGCAGGAGGCAGCTGATGGATGATTCTCTCTCATCGATGTTTCTAACTCTCTATCCCTCTCCCTTCCTCTCTGTGAAAAATCAATAAAAAAAATATATATATATATATATATATATATATATATATATATATATATTTTTTTTTTTTTTTTTTTTTTTTTTTAAATGCTCCCTCCATAGGAAAGTGCTCTGAGGACGTGGCCAGGGGACTCGAACTCTCTGAGCCTCCGTCTCCTCAGCCAAGGGGGCCCTGACTGTTGGAAGGAGCCCCGCCCGGGACGGCTCCCACCTTCGGCCCCCACCCCCGGAAGGAGTGGCCGGGGTCCGATCCAGGTCACCGGCTCCTGCTAGCCTTTCCTTGGTAGCTTCTGCCTTAGCACATCACCCATCGCCTGCGGGTGCCTCTTCTGAGGTGGGGCCTGGAGCACCGAGAGGCAGCCCGGTTTTCTGGGGGCCAGAGGGGATCCCCACACCCCCGGGGCCCTTCGGGGAGCAGTGTCAAGCGCACACCGGGCCCCGGGCCCCGGGCCACGTCTGAGGCAGGATCCGCTATTATCCTGTTCGCTTCATGCTACAACACGCGTCGGCACACAGACCCCGGCTGCAGGCCCACGTGGTGCCGGGGCGAGCCAGACGCTCCGTCCAGCCCGCACCCCTGCCCACGCGCCCCAAACCCCGCAGCCCGAGGCCCCAGTGTCCCGAGGGAGAGGCCCATCAGACACAACACACTCTCTGTCTGCGCTGACGACGCCCCCACAGCCAGGCTGGCCGGGAGACTTCCCCTCCTGGCCCGGCAGGGAGCTCCCGTCCGGCCCTCGGTGGTGGGCGCTGGTGACCTTGCCAGCGAGGGGCACCCCCTCTCCCAGCGGCCAGCCCCTCCCCCAAACCCTCTCCCCCAAGACAACACAGAGACACAGGGGCTTAGAAACCAGGCAAAGTTTTAAATATACGTTGGCACAATATTAACATTTAAATACACATCATAAATAAGCCTCATAAATAAAATGTTTTTTTTTTTAAAAATACAGATACAAACTGATATTTAAAAATAAAAAGATCGATAAATTAATCCTGTTCCTCCAAGCCAGGAATGGGCCCAGAACCCTTCAGGACAATTGGTTTCAGCACGAGAAACATTCCAAGACCCGCCACCAGGGGGAGCCGTCGGCAGCCAGAACCCAAGGCCAAGGCCAAGGCCAGGCGCCGGCTGGGAAGTCCCCGGCACTAACAGAATCCAGTCTGCACCGGGTCCCTGCCCGGCGTGTCCCCGTGCACAGAGAGAACCTGAAACCCATCCTCTGACCCCTTCCATTCACAAAGACGTTAAAACCGACGGCCAGCCGAAGCCGGTGTGGCTCAGTGGCTAGAGCGTCGGCCTGCGGACTGAGGGGTCCCGGGTCCGATTCCGGTCGAGGGCATGCACCTTGGTGGCGGGCGCATCCCCGGCGGGGGGTGTGCAGGAGGCAGCTGGTCGGTGTTTCTCTCTCATCGATGTTTCTAGCTCTCTGTCCCTCTCCCTTCCTCTCTGTAAAAAAAAACAATAAAATATATTAAAAAATAATAAAAAGAGGGCCGGAGAGGTCAAGTGGGCCGGCCTGAGGCCAGGCCGTGAGCGAGGGGCCACGCAGGGCCCTGACCCCTGTCCCCCTGTCCGTGCCCCCGCCCCCCAAGTCTCTCCTGCAGGACGCTCTGCCCTGTCATCGCTGCCCCAGTGAGGTCACCCAGGCGTCCAGGTGTCTGGCGATGAGGCATCGGACCCAGTTCAGGCCCTGACCCCCCCCCCCTGCCCCCAGACCACGCCGGCCCAGAAAGGAGGAAGTCTGGGGCCACGGCTCTGCCAGTCATGAGAGGGCCGGCCGGCCGGCAGCTCCGGGCCTGGCCGTGAGTCAGCCTGTGTCATCAGACCCCTGAATCAATGGAAAGCTGGCCCCGCGTGGCCTGGCCCGCCCCCCCGCCCCCCGGGCTGGGGGAACTCGGGGCTGGCGGGGGGGGGGAGGCACATGGCGGGGGTCCTGTCTCCCCGTCGGGAGGAGGTAGGGGAGCCTGCGGGCTGTCACCCCTTTAAAGTGCACGTCGGAGAGACGGGGAGCAGGTGTGGAGGCCGGAGCCCCCTGAGGAGCACCTGCTGGGGGGGGCCCCCCAAGGCTACCGGGGCGGCTGCCCCCGGGGCTCCCGTCTCCGGCCCCTCCCGGGGGGCTGCCTCCCGCGCGGCCGGCGCCCCCCGCCCCGCACGGCCCGGCGGGGGCTGTGCCTGCGGCTCCGGGGACCCGGGGCCGCCCTCCACTCGCCCAGGACCTGGCCGGCCGCGTGCATGAAGCGGTGGAAGCCCTGCAGCAGCCGGCAGCCCTCCAGCTTGCGGGCGAAGCTGTTGGGGGCGGCGGGGGGCGGCGGGGGGGTCCCGGGGCGCGCCGGCGTGGGGCCGGGCGTCTCCGGGGGGCCGGGCAGCAGCAGGGCCAGGCAGTGGACGTTGTTCCGGATGCCCAGCAGGTAGCGCCCGGCCTCCTCCCAGGCCGGGTCGGGGGCCTCCTGCTGCAGCGCGGCCAGCAGGCGCAGCACGGGGCCCAGCTGGGCGCTCAGCGTCCGCAGGAAGGCGCGCCGGCCCAGCGCCCGCAACGCCTGCAGGCTGGGGAAGGCCCCCGGCCGCTCCCGGCAGCTCCCGGCCAGTCCCGACTCCTCCAGGCCCTGGACCTGGATCTGGGGGGGAAGGAGGAGAACCGGGGTGAGTGCGGAGCCCCCACTGTGCGCGCACGCACACACACACACATACACACACTCTCTCACACTCACACACTCACACTCTTTCACACTCACACACACTCACTCACACTCTCTCACACACACACACACACATACACTCACACTCACACACTCACACTCTTTCACACTCACACACACTCACTCACACTCTCTCACACACACACACACATACACTCACACTCACACACTCACACTCTTTCACACTCACTCACTCACACACACTCACACACACACACTCTCACACTCACACACTCACACACACACACACACACACTCTCACACTCACACACTCACACTCTTTCACACTCACACACACTCACTCACACTCTCTCACACTCACTCACACTCTCTCACACACACACACACACACATACACTCACACTCACACACTCACACTCTTTCACACTCACTCACTCACACACACACACACTCTCACACTCACACACTCACACTCTTTCACACTCACACACACTCACACTCTCTCACACTCACACACACACTCTCTATCACACTCACACTCTTTCACACTCACACACACTCACACTCTCTCACACACACACACACACTCTCTCACACTCACACACTCACACTCTTTCACACTCACACACACTCACACTCTCTCACACTCACACACACACTCTCTATCACACTCACACTCTTTCACACTCACACACACACTCTCTATCACACTCACACTCTTTCACACTCACACACACTCACTCACACTCTCTCACACACACACACACACACTCTCTCACACTCACACACTCACACTCTTTCACACTCACACACACTCACTCACACTCTCTCACACACACACACACACATACACTCACACTCACACACTCACACTCTTTCTCACTCACACACACACACACACACACACACACACACACACACACACACGTCTGCTCTGGTCAGCCTTGCAAAGCTCGACCTCCCTCGTCCACCCCCTATCCAATCCGCCCATTGCACAGACCCAGAAACTGAGGCCCCAGAGGGAGAGGACGCCCGGTCACTGCAGGGAGCGGGTCGGAGGGAAGCAGGGGCCGTGGGGGCCGCGGTGCGGGCGTGTCGGTGGGGAGGTGGCGTGAGCCTCGGGGGAGCAGGACCGTTCTGTCCGCGGCTGGGTCTCGGGGGCCGAGGACGGGCCCATGGCCGGTGTGCGGTAAGCGTGCTGGGCGGAGGGAGGGCCGCAGCCCTGCGGCCGGGGTCACGCTCCAGGCCCCTGTCTCGGGGTACGCCTCGGGGGGATGTTAGCCGGGGCCCGTCCTCTGGGGGTCCCTCCTGCCCTAAGTCAGCCGAGTCCGCGGAGACTCCGCCCTCCCCCCCCCCCCCCGGCGGGCGGGCGGGGCTCACATAGGGCTCCAGGAGCGAGTCGGGGTGCTGCATGAGGTTCGCCAGCTTCCACAGCTGCGTGAGGAGTTCCTGGCTGCTGCCCGGGCAGGCGCCCGGCGCCGCGGGGTGCAGGAACAGGAGCCTGAGGGTCAGAACTGGGGCAGAGAGGGGTGTCACCTGGCGTGGCGAGGAAGCCACGGAGGGGGGGGGGCTCAGAGGATGCGCCCATCCTCCTGGATCGGAGCCACGGGTACCCATGCTGCCCACACACGGGCCCACCCGGGGGCCCGGCCCAGCACCCGAAACCTCGGCAGCTGCGATGCCCCGAGGAGGCCGGGGCCCGGAGCCCACGGGGCCGGGCCGGGCGGGACTCTCTCGGCCCCGCCTCCAGGCTCAGGAACGGCTCCTGCCCCGGCCCCCGTGACCGACCCATTTTAACTGCCAGGAAGACCGAGGCCCGAAGCAGGGTTCCCCAAGGCACACAGCGCCAGCCAGCCCCCCAGCCTCGAGCCTGCCCCCTCTCTCCACAGACAGGAGGCCCACAGGGGTGCTGGGAGCCAGTGGGCATGTGTGGGGTGGGGGTGGGGGAGCCGGGCACAGGGACGGCTCGCCCGCCTCCCCCACCCCCGGCAGCCACGTGGTCGGAAGGGGCCCGTGGTGCAATGGCCCGGAAGGCGGTGACACCAGTTCCCTTCCGAAGAGCCGTCGGGCTGCGGGGAAGATGCTGCCAGGGAGGGCGGGGGGCCGGGCCTGGGGCACAGCGACCACCGGGCCCCCCTTTCCCATCCCCCCGCCCCCCGTGTGTGCGGAGTGTGCGTGCGGGCCGGGTGTGTGCCTGCGGCCTGGGCAGGTCTGTGTTGGGCTGCAGAGATCAGATGGCGGCCCCCGTCCAGCGGGGGGCCCCCCGGCCGCAGGTGGGGGTTCCCGGGCTGGCGAGATTGAGGGTGCCAGATGATGTCACGGGGCTCTGCCTGCGCGTGGCACCCTGTGGGTGTGGCTATGGGGCTGTGTGATTGTGTGGGCTCGGGGGCCCCTGCCTGGCGGGGTGTGTGACCCTGCAAATCAAGGCGAGAAGGGGGCCCCTCCGGGTGGTGTGCCTTCCCCCTCTGCGGCTCTGGCTTCCTCTCCGCGGCACAACCCCCGCCTCCTGCCCCCGCCGCTCACCCCATCGGCCCCCTCCCCGGGCTCCCTGAGCCGGCTCCGCGATGCCTCCCCCTGGAAGCCCTCCTGGGATGCCCCTGCTCCCCTCTGGGAAGAGGCCGCGTTCTCTCTCAGTCTCAGCATCCTTCTTTCGGTCTCCCCAGCTCCCGGTGGGGGGGGGGGGTGTGTGCAAACGGAGGGTACCCGGCTCCCCGCAGACGCCCGCGGCTCCCAGTGAGCAGGTGCCGGCGGGGAGGAAGGAAGTACTTACTGAGCAGAGTCCTCCTCACGGGCGGTGCCCACATGCTGTGTGTCCGAGCTCCGGCCTGCGCCTGGCGGGGGTGCCACCTCCGGGCTGGGAGCCCCGCGGGCTGTCAGCCACTTTATTGCCTGCCCGAGCGATTGGCCAACACCTCCCGAGGTGGGTGGGGAGGGGGGAGGGCAGGCCTTCTGGGAACATGACCCCGAGAACCAAAGTCTCCACGGGCGGCCAATGGGCGCCGGGCGCCGCGCACGCCCGCTCCTCCTCCTGTTTTCTTCGAATTCGTTCTTCGAGGGCAGCCCCACGCCCAGGGGTGATGCAAAGCGCAGCCCCGGCCTTCCTGGGGGCCGGGAGCCGGGGGGGCCGGGAGCCGGGGGGGCCGGGGGGCCGCGCCATCGGCGGGGCGCTGGGCGGGCGGGCAGCGGGGAGACGGAGAAGCAGGTCGGCCGGCCAGGCCCACGGGCCAGTCTCAGCCCAGGGGCCGGCGGCCTCCGGGCCACTGTGGTTTGGGGCCGAGGGGAGCAAGGCACCTTCCTTCCCGGTGCCCTTCCCGCCCTCCCGCGGGGCTGTTGGGACATCTGCGAGCGGAAACCGCCGGGTTCTGGGCACAGGGCCAGACCCGGGCTGGCAGCCCCGAGATTGTGGTCCGGCCCTGGGACCGGCATGCCCCACAGCGGGGCTCGGCTCCCATGCCCACCGCGCCCCCGGCACCCCTACAGCGGGGTCCTCCGGGGGGAAGCGGGCACTGGGTCCCCTGGGACACGGGTCCGAGCCCGCTGACCGGCTCTGAGACCCGAGCGAACCACCTGCCCCCCCCCACCCCGGGCCTCGGCCCACCTGCAGGAGGAGGAATCGAAAAGCCACCTCACAGGCCCGCGTCATGGACATAAAAGGCGAGGGTTCTTTGAAGGGAAAGGGAAAGAGGACGAAAGCCTGATTCAAAGTACTGGCTGGGGAGGGGTGGGTGGGGTAGGGAGGGATGTGGCGGGGAGGGGGGGGGTGAGGGGGAAGCCGTGAGCTCAGAGGGGAAACCAGCCGGAGAGGGAGTCGCCGTGGTGACGGTTGGCACCAGGTTTCACTTTCTCTGAAAGATAGCGATCGTGGGCTGGTCCTCCCGGCCCACAGGCCTCCGAGCGTCAGCGGGAAGGGGCCTGGAGACGGTGCCTCCCTAGGAGGGAAACCGAGGCCCAGGCGGGGGCAGAGGGGGCAGAGGGGCCGCCCAGGCCCGCAGGCCCCGCCTGGTGGTCCAGCACGTTGGCCGGGCCTGGGAGCAGGTGGCCGGTCCCAGGCCTCCGGAGTCGGGCAGGAAGGGGGTGTCCGAGGCTGGGGATCCGGGGTGAGGTCTCTGCGGGCTGCCAGGGAGGCCGGGCAGCTCCAGCTGGGCCTCCGGGGCCTGGACGGGCAAAACCCAGGTGCCAGGGCTGATGGGCCCTGACCATCTCCAACCCTGGCACCCGTCATGGCCACCCACACTGTGCCCACCGGCTGTCCCCTCTGCAGAGATGGCCAATCAAGCCTTCATCACCCTAACTGGTTTGGCTCAGTGGACAGAGCGTCAGCCTGCAGACTCAAGGGTCCCGGGTTCGATTCCAGTCAAGGGCATGCATCTTGGTTGCAGGCACATCCCCAGTAGGGAGTGTGCAGGAGGCAGCTGATCGATGTTTCTCTCTCATCGATGTTTCTAACTCTCTATCCCTCTCCCTTCCTCTATGTAAAAAATCAATAAAATATATATATTTTTTTTAAAAAAAAGCCTTCATTCATTCAGCAAATGGCCCCCTGCCGCCCCTGTGCCAGCCACCCAGGTGCCGGGCTCCACAGTGGGCACCCCCAGACGCACCCCCATGCCCAGGCGGCTCCTCAGCCCCGCCCACTCCCTGGCACCCCAGCACGGCGCTCGCTGTGCCATAGGCAATCACCCCACCGTGCCCCGTCACCCCACTGCCCGATCACCCCACTATGTCCTATCACCCCACGTGGCCAATCACCCCACTGCCCGATCACCCCACCATCGCCACCCCGAGGGCCGGCTCTGGATTCTCCTCGGAGCGCGTAGCTCCCGCTCAATTCCTCATTTCGGGGCCCACCCCCGCGAGCCGCTTCCTGCGCCCCTGCCTCGCCGCTCCTTCTTCATTTCACATTCCGCTAGTGTTTTGCAACAGCCGCGTGAGGGGGCGCGGCCGGCAGGGCGTGCTGGCTCCTTAACGGGGGGAAACTGAAATTCGGAGAAGCTCGGGGCTGGGCAGCTCCCGGCCCCTCTCAGCTCCCGCGGACCGGTCTCCGTCCTCGGGGGGCAGCCATGGGCCCCCTCCTCCTCTCCCCACGGTCCAGGGAGGCCGGCTGTCTCCCGGCTTAACAAGGCCCCTGCGCCCGGCCGCCGTGGCTCAGTGGTTGAGACAGGAGGTCACGGTTCGATTCCCGGACAGGGCACAGGCCCGGGTGGCGGGCTCCATCCCCTGTGTGTGGGGTTTGCAGGAGGCAGCCGATCAATGATTCTCTCTCATCATTGGTGGTTCTCTTTCTCATTCCCTCTCCATTCTTCTCTGAAACCAATTTATATATATGCTAATTAGACCAGACAGCCAAAATATGCTAATTAGTGTAATATGCTAATTAGACCAGAAAAGCCAAAGGACCTTCTGGACAAAGCTGGGGTTGCAAGGACAAATTTCGTGTGCCAGGCCCTAGTGTGATCATAATTGTGATGATCTCTGAATGCACAATAATCTGGCCACTCAGCGTGTGTGTGTGTGTGTGTGTGTGTGTGTGTGTCTTAAATTCGTGCACGGGTGGGGTTCTGCCAGCCTGGCCTGGGGAAGGGGGCATGGACAGTCGGCCGGCCTGCCTGCTGGTCGAACTCCTGGTCGAGGGGATAATTTACACATTAGCCTTTTATTCTGCAGGATCCACACGGAGTGGCCGGGTGATTATGCGTTCAGAGGCCGTCATCCGGCCACTCCGTGTGTACATCCCTCTGAGGCCCAGCGCATGAGGTCACTGCCTGAGGTCACCCTGCGTGGTGGCCCTGCAGAGGCGGGCATGCGTTCCAGGGCTGTGAGCTCGGGGCTCACGGAGGGTCCGTGCAGGTGCCAGGGACCAGGGCCGCCGCAGGCAGAAACGGCCCGTCTGTGGTCTTGCCCGGGACGCCAGACCTAAACGCCACAGCCCGGGCGGCCGATGCACAAGGAACGTGCTTCCTCTCAGGCCTGGACCTTGAAGTCCGGGGTCGGCGAGTGTCAGCAAGGCCGACGGCAACCTGCAGCCTCTCTCCGGGTTTGCAGGCGGCCGCCTTCCCGCTGCCCCTCATGTGGCCCTCCCTCGGCCCGTGTGTGTGTGTGTGTGTGTGTGTGTGTGTGTGTGTGTGTCTGTGTCTTCTCCTCCTTCTTCTTCTTCTTCTTCTTTTTTTTAAATATATTTTATTGATTTTGTACAGAGAGGAAGGAAGAGAGATAGAGAGCTAGAAACATCAATGAGAGAGAGTCATCGATCAGCTGCCTCCTGCACACCCCCCACTGGGAATATGCCCACAACCAAGGTATATGCCCCTGACTGGAATCGAACCCGGGTCCCTTCAGTCCCCAAGCCGATGCTCTATCCACTGAGCCAAACCCTGGCCTCGGCTGCTTCTTCTTCTTCTTCTTCTTCTTCTTCTTCTTCTTCTTCTTCTTCTTCTTCTTCTTCTCCTTCTTCTTCTCCTTCTCCTTCTCCTTCTCCTTCTCCTTCTCCTTCTTCTTCTTTAATATATTTTATTGATTTTTTACAGAGAGGAAGAGAGAGGGATAGAGAGCTAGAAACATCGATGAGATTGAATCATCGACCAGCTGCCTCTTGCACACCCCCTACTCGGGATGTGCCTGCAACCCAGGTACGTGCCCTTGACCGGAATCGAACCCGGGACCCTTCAGTCCGCAGGCTGATGCTCTATCCACGGAGCCACACCCGTTTGGGCCTGCCCCGTGACCTCGTTACCTCCATCGCCTCATCCCAGGCCCATCTCCAAAGGCGCTCCCACGCCGAGGCTCTGGAGGCTCGGACCCGGGACCACCATCCAGCCCATCACCGCTCACAAGAGGGCATGGCTGGAGGGTGACAGGACGTCGGGACCCCCCTGGTGAGACCGCAGAGCTGGGGGGAAGGGGCAGCGATGGGAAGGGGGCCCCCAGGGGCCCCCAGGCCAGGAGGCCCGGCCGGCCGCCCATCAGAGCGAAGCGTGAGGCGAGATGCGTCAGCGCTTCTGGTGAGGTCAGCGCCCGATGACGTCCCCGTCGCCGGCAGGAAGGGCTTGCGACACCCACGGCGCGGCCGGTATAAATAGGCTCCCTGACCACAGCCCGGCCGGCCCCCTCCCGGCCACGTCACCGCCCGCGTGATGCGGGGAGCGAGGGCCAGCTGGGTTCCTCGGAACTGCTGCTCCCGGCCCCCCGGCCCCCCGGCTTCCCGGCCCGCCCTCTGGGAGGACAGAGACCGAGCCACTTGGGAGCCCAGTGGTGTGTGTTTTAATATGTTTTTATTGATCTCGGAGAGGAAGGGAGAGGAAGAGAGAGAGAAACTTCAATGATGAGAGGAAGGGAGAGGGAGAGAGAGAGAGAAACATCCTGCACACTCCACCCTGGGGATGGAGCCCGCCATCCGGGCCTGTGCCCTGATCAGGAATCGAACCCTGACCTCCTGGTTCACAGGCCAACCCTCAGCCACGGGGCCACGACAGCGGGACTGAGCCCAGTGTTCCCGACCCAGCCACCGCGCCTCCCTGAGCCTCAGTGTCCGCTCTGCAGGTGACGGTGGTACAGCGGATGGAGGGACAACAGCCCGGGTCGAACCCCGGGGCTCAGGTGCCTCTGCCCCAGGATGACCGGGAAGGGAAGGAACGTTGGTCGGTCACGGCCGTGGCCACGTGCGGCCTATTGGCGGCCCCCGGTGCGAGAGCCCAAGGACAAGGCCATCGAGAACCTCGTCCTTTGAAACACGGCCGAGGCTGCAGCCGTGGGGGCCCGCTGCAGCCCCAGCTGCACGTGGAAAGGTCAGGGACCCTCGTGCGGCTCG